TGTTTTGATGCTCGTCTTGAACTGAAGGATGCTGTTTTGATGCTCGTCTTGAACTGAAGGATGCTGTTTTGATGCCCGCGAACGTCTTTGTAAAGACAAGAAAGGCTGCAGCTAACTTCAAGGATGCCTACTGAACTATAATGAACTCTGCTGAGCTAACAACTCATTTCTGTTTGGAACTACTTTGGCTTCTTTAAATGTAATTGGCATGAATGGCATCCACAGGCAGTTTGTGAACACGTATCCACCATAGGCCGGTCGGTGCTGCGTTTTAATATTAAAAGTATTAAAACAGGTGAATCTAAAGAATGAATGCAACCATCATGGTGGTCTTTTTTTAAACACAAGTGTCTGCTTTTGCCATCACAGCTGTAAAATGAAAAGTCAGCTTTATTTGGTTGAGGACTGAATAACTGAATAAATGTTAAAGAACTAATCTCAAGAGTGTATTTGCTTTATGAGTTCTCAATACAAGATAATTAAAAAAGATAATTCTGGATCATTTTGTTCATTTAGTTTTCATATTCTTGTTTATTTAAAAACTGTTTTATGCTGAAGTGTAGAGCATTTTTTATTTTTTTGCACAGGACTTTGAAGTGTGATATGGTTACACTGAGATGCTTCTATAATCATTTTATCTTGTATAACCTTAATTAAACTGTGAGAGACTTGCACACTCCCAGGGACTCCTAGGGAAGAATGAGCAGATTTATAGTCGACTTACTTTCTGTTTTGTTGGCGTAGTTCCTCACAGACACAACTGCAGCTCGGTGCAGCTTGCAGGGCAGATGGTGGCGTCGCTGTGAAGCAAATAAGCAACTAGTTAGAAACACTGTAAGTAAGCATAATGAGGAACAAACGGCACCAAAAACGGCCCTCTGGGAGTGTTGTGCTTCATGTTACTTTCTGCTTATATCCACAAGACAAACTGCAAAAACCTGAAACCATTTGTTTTGTTGTTTGTCTTTTTTTTTTTTTTTTTGCATTTATCCAGACCCGAACAAAACTAAAGTAAAAACCTGCATTCCTTTTATTTCTAGACTTAAAGAATGTGTTGAACGAGTCTCAAACCAACTTTCTGCTTCCACACACTCCTCTCAGATCAGAGCACATCATCTCCACATGACAGAAACATGTCGGGCATCAAAACACATGTCTGTGGTATGTTGTTGGAGAGAGTCTAATAAAGTTAAAAACAACTTAACTTTACTCGTTTTGTAAGTTTTCTAAAGAGAACGCGCAAAAGCACAAAACTATTCCTGTTGGCGAAGGTTTGTCGGTTCAATCATCCAGGTAAACAACAACAAACAAGGTTACGTCATCGTGTCATCCGGACATGATTTAATTTGATTTTCCTGTTGACATTTCAATATTTCTCTCTAATTACATATTATCTAAAGTCTGTGTATAGTTTGTAAACATTCTAAAAACATAGCAAATAAAACATATGTTTGAAAAATGAAAACGTTCCAAAGTAGCAACCTTTTTTAAAGTTGAAAATGGAGTTTAGATAAGTGAGCAGAGCTAGCTGATCAGCTAGCATCCCGGGCCGCTGCTCAGAAACCACCACATTAATGTGCAGAAAACGAGAGCAGTCTGAAACCACGACAACAAGAGCTGCTTACACGTGAAATCAGACTGTTCTTACCGTGGCCACAGAGCGGTAAAGCTGCGTCCAGCTCTGCATTTTGTTACAGTCCTGGAAGGCTGGAAGTAACCTACAGGAAGCCGATCAGCCAAGGACTACCGCCACTGCGCACGCGCAGTATCTGCCCAGAAACCGGTCGCGTCGCGTGTATATGACGTCATCTGACTTCTGTCATTTGGATTCGGAACAGCAGACTTGTCTTTAAAACCATATCATATATGATATCTATGCTTAAAACCATATCATATATGATATCTATGTTTAAAACCATATCATATATGATATCTATGTTTAAAACCATATCACATATGATATCTATGTTTAAAACCATATCATATGATATCTATGTTTAAAACAGGTCTCTCTTGAAAATGAATCCTCGTGACTCAATGAGACCAACCCTGTGTATAAAGGTTGAATGGAACAATAAACACGTCCAGGCCAAATGTCGTGTTTGTAAATGCAGACGTTTAAAGAAAAATAAACGTAGCAGGATTTATGGTTTAGTTTAGACAAGAGTTACACTCAATCTTTCGATTTCCGTCTAAACAGAAGGTACAAACATAAACAATGATTTGTTCTCATGTTGCAGTGACTGCATTGATTTTGACTTGTGTTTTGTTTTTGGTTGTTGCTTTCATTATTGCCACTTTCTTCTTTTTTAACCATATTTCTTTATGTTCGTGTTCAATGCCGCTGGCTAATTTAGGTTTACCTTATTTATGTATCATTTGTACTATGTTCCTCTGTTGACCAGAAACATGTTAGGCTGATTGGTAACTAAATTGTTCCTAGGTGAGAGAGAGAATTGTTGTCTCGTTTGTCTCCAGGTGTCCCTGTGATGGACTGGAGACCTGTCCAGGTGTCCCCCGCCTCTCACACAGTGATGGCTGGACATGGGCACCAGTGACCCCTGCGACCCGACAAGGAAAAAGCAGGTAAAGATAATGGATGGATGGATGTTATAACGTTTTTTTGGGAAACAGCAAAGACGCATTATATAAACATGCATCTTTATTCCTAAATACCCGATTTGTTTAAGACCTGTGTTGTTGCTCAGCTCCTGTGTCCTAGACCTACAGGTTCTTAATTCTTCACTCTGTTTTGGAAGTTTTGAACAAGTGTCATGGAAAAAAAGAGGTTCCCAAAACAACCAGGCGTAAGCTTCATCAGATTTATTACATAGCTTTAGATCATAGCCAGCGATCACAGATCATTGCATTTACAAGTTCACGCTTATCACCTTCACCTGCCTGAGGCTCTGACCCGTTCTGACCTCCTGAACTGAAGAAAAAAAGACTTTGTAGAACTTCCAGCTACTCTCCTGCTGTTGAGGGAAATGTAGAGGGCATGGCACATCAAGAAGTAGCCCAACAGCTTTCAGAGCACGCTCCGCTTCTCTCACGCACCCCTCCACCTCAAACTTGAGCTCGCCGGTTGGTCAGTTGCTGACAAGATTACTGGATTGATTGACAGGTGCCATTGAGGATCTGACTCTTGCACAAAGAAAGAAAAAAAATATCATAGATTTTACCGGCCTATTTAAGTCTCATTTATTCCATATTTATTGAATATTTTGGTTTGAGAACTGAGTTTTATTACAAAATCCTAATGCATTTTTAATTTTATGGGTGTTGAATTAAAATGTAGGGGTGCTTGAGCACCCCCAAAGAGGCTGAAATGCCACGGTAAAGAATCATGGGCAGAGAACAACAGGAAGTCAAACTTTGACATAAAAACTCATTTATTATAAAACAACAACGCATTTATAAAACTCTGAAGGAACACAAGAAAACACAGGGAGGCCCCAAACAGTGGCGTCAGAGCCAACAATGCTCTGCTGCAGTGGAGATGGAGAACGACTGGGCTCATGGACGCACCTGAGCAGAAAGCTGACTGGGACACAGGTGAGAATGGGCGTGGCCAGTTGACTGACAGCAGAAGCTGAACTGAGCGCGAATGAAAGAACACAAACACCAATCAAAACATTTAACCATAAAACTCAGAACGTTATAAAGAAAACAAACATAAATACTAACACGTTTTATTTACTGAATAATTATTATTACAAATTTAAATTTTTTTTGCAGTTGTTATAGAAAAAGTTTATTTTGTTTTAGAATTTTCAGCAAAATCAAGATTTAAATAACTTTGGTTTTTGTATAAATAAGATATTTTATTTATGTTGTTTTATTTTCAAACAGTTTTCAGGCGTATAAATATAAAGGTAAACATTTTTGGCACAATTTACAAAAACATAAAAAATTTAAAATATTACATTCGTAATAACTTTGACCACATCAGCTTCTATTTACACAAACTGTACAGAAACAGAAACATCTGAACTGATGGAAAATATCTGAAAACTGACAAACTCTGATCCCAGGTCAGACAGAAAGTGAAAGAAAATATACGCTTCCCATTTTATGTTATTATAATTTAATATAGGTTTTGTATAATATATTATGTTGCGTCACTGCAGTAACTGAAGTGTAATTGTGAAGGAATTCAGCAGAACTTCAGCTGTTTTTATCTCATAATTAAATACTAAAACAGTGTTTAGAGTCAAGTTGTTTGCAAATTCTTATTTTTTCAAGAATTAAAGTGATCTGAGCCCACACTTCTCTATAATAATCAAAGACAAAGTCTGGGGAGTGACCTAAGAAGCTCATTTGTGCTGTAAAAACAAAAGAATGTTGTCAAATTAGAGTTTAGATTAAAATCTGAGAGTAGCAGAGAT